GGCTCACCCCCTTTTTTCCCTCCCCTTCCAGTCTGCCCAGCTCGATCACTTACTTGTCGTATTCTTGTGTCATGTCTGGCAGGCGGTGGGGGTGGCAGAACTGGCCCGGCTGGTTGGGACGGGGAAACTTGCCGCGGCCCAGGCGGAGTTGAAGGGAGGGGACGGGAGGAAGAGCCGAAGAAGAGCAGCAAGCAGCCGCCGAGGGAAAAGATCGCCACGCAGATCGCCGCACAAACGGGTTTTGTCGGCTTTTCTCGCTCGCTCAGGTGGCTCCCGGGAGTCGCAGGTGGATTCGGAGCTCAGCCCCGGGCTCCCCATTGGCTGGAGCCGAGAGGCAGGTGCCGGGTGGGTGGGAACGGCCGGCCGAGCAACGCCCCGATTGGAGGAGGGAGGCGGAGGGGGGCGTGGCCGAGCGGCGTGGCCGCGTTCTAAATTGGAACGTTGGGGAGAACTTACTTTCCCCACCGTTGCGCCGCGTTCTAAATTGGAACGTTGGGGAGAGCTTGTTACTTTTCCCCCACCGTTGCGCCGCGCTGGGCCGGAGGATCGCGGCGGATCCTCCACGGAGGTTCTCTGTCCACGTAGCGTTGTTGTGACGCAGCTTTCCCCGGCGGGGTTCGGGCTCCCCCTCGTTAAGCTCCTTCGGTGCGGCCAAGGAGAAGGAAGGGCCAAATTGTGTAAACGCTCCTTAAGAGAGAGAGAAAGAGACGCCCGTGATTGAAATCCTGGCTGCGGTTAAGAGACGCAAGATCGGAATGAGGATTTAAAGCGTATCCTAAGTGTGTCACTGGCAGGGATTTCGGCGGGCGGGGATTTCTTTTGAGTCCGCGTGTTTGTTTCACTTGCCGGAACTAAATCCAAACCTGTTCCCCGATTTCACTTTTATGGAGAATGCGGACACGTTCTCTCGAATTATATTTAAACGTCCGCTTTGCTGCCTTTACTGATGGAGGCATCTTGGAAACGCGTCTCAGATATCTCTATATCTATCTCTAAATCTATATTCTGGGTGATATTTTTTTTATTCGGGTAAAAACAGCC